TAAATATACCCGTTTAGAACGAGCTCTTTGTTTCCTTTGTGACTTTTGACGAATTCGGCCATGATCTTGAACTCCTGATCGAAATCCTTACTGACTGAGGTGAGGCGTCTGCACGCTTTTATAGGGACGTAGATGCGGAGATACCTTCAGCCACAAAGGTCGACCGCGGCTTTAGGATTAACGGGGATTAGAAAGAGGAACCGGCAGGCATCACTCGAAGTGAAATGAATAGCCACAACATACCATAATGATATATTATCTTCTTGCAAATGCTCCAAACAACGGCATCTTACTTTCCTCCCCATACTCCACAGGGGGTACGAGGGGGTTGTCAATCAATACTTGACTCGGACTTGTCTAAATCACTATTTAAAGATTTTCTCACGTGATCCTCAGTAGGGAGTTCCACCACTCAGCCCTCCTCCGGATCAACGCGCCCCTATCTCCAAGATAATTGCAGGTGACCAGGCATTCTCATATCTTTAAATGTCACACTTCAATTATCCCATTGCCATCGGAGTGTCTTTAAAGCATGGGCTAAGTAGCAACATAATCCCACATGCCTGATCTGATCTCACCTGACTTGTTTCCCACGTTTTAATGTGCATTCCTGGAAACAATCTTACTTTCATTGATCCGGTGTTGAAACATTCAAGAATTTTGCGAATTTCCTTCATGCTCATGTTTTATTACGTTGTTAATCATTTATACTCTAGTAGCACATCACATTAAATCAAGGTTGATTCAATGTTATGTACTACTAGGGTATATTTATATATCAAGTGGGCATTTGCGCGAAATAGCAGTAAATTCCAGCTAAGAAACAACTGGTACCTACTGTTTTCCAGCTCTTTGCCAGCTAGAAATGGTCCGAATTTACAGATTTGATCCAGCTGGAATATTCCAGTTGGGATTTTAAACTGGGGGTCGCCTATTTCGTATGTCTAGTCGATCTCGCATTTTTCTGGCCTCATTTGCGAAAATGAGGCCAGAAAAATGCGACATCTGAATTTAGCTGATGCTCCGAATCGGAGCATTAGCTAAATTCAGTATTTTCACCCTGGAACGAATTGCCGCTCCTCCTGCCTCGTGGTTAACATATAAAGACAATTCTTCTTTCTTTTGGGCAAGTAGAAGGTGAAGAGGGGACAAAGCATTCGAGGTAGTGAATATCAGACTGAAGGGAGTAAAATCAAGTCATGAAAGTCGACATTTTCAGAGGAGTAAACCTGAGCGAAAGTTTTGATTTCAGCCTTGGCTACTTCCCACCAAGAAGCGATTGTGTGAAACTCGATTTTCTTCGCTTCCATATCGTGCCAGAAACTAAGATTTCGCAGTGATTTCAGGGCAGACGAAACGGACAAGGTAACGACGGCATGGTCTGAGAGAGGCGCACAAGGAATGATGCAAGTTGCTTTAATGCGCGCAAGGAGAGGCGCGTTGACGTAAAAGCGATCGAGGAGGGATCGTGGATGACGGCGATGCAAGCCCGTTTATGTGAAGGACCGTTCCCGGCCGTGAAACTCTCGCCGAGCGTCTGTCAAGAAAAAATTTCGAACAAGGACTTGCAATCGCTCCTGAATAGCAGGTCTGAATTCGCGAGAATTCTCCTGGTCGAGAGCGGGTTCCAAGGTACAATTAAAATCACCTCCTATGACGATGAGGGAATTTATTGAACGGAGAGAGAGATCATTCTCCAGTGTAATCATCAGTTGAATACCTATAGCTCCTTGGATTGAGTCATGTTTACATTGTATGTAACAAGATGAAAATCGTCCCAAAGAAAATTGACACGTTGTAAGTGTCCTTTCAAAATTTCTCTTTGGGAAGAAAAAGAAAGGGAAGAGAATTTCTGAAAACCCGTGAGAACTCCTGTTCCATTAGAAGAATAGTTTACGAATCCATTCCCCATTCGTCGAGGAGAAACCGACCGGAAGAACGCAAATTCGTTTCTATCAGGAAAATTAAATAAGATTAAAGATAGCCATTTAGCGAACATTTTATCTGAGAAGGCAACTCGGAGGACATCTATCAGGGAATATATGCCCGATGGGTCGCTGCTGTACTGTAGAGCGAGGGGGAACAACCGATTTCTTAGCATGTTTCGCTTCCTCAAGAAAGCTGAGAAAATCCTGTACGTTATGTGGGGTAGAAGATGAATCCACAGAGGAAAGAGCTCCAAGTTCAGTGGGTTCAAGTGTGGAAGGGGTGAGAGGCGCGGTTTGGAGAGTATCAACGTCTGTGTCGGGTAGAACAGTATCCTTGAGTTTTTTCTTTCCCAAGGACACAGGGGATGGGTCAGATGACGTTCGCTTGGTGGACGGGAGTTGCGTGGAACCCGGAAGGGTTAAAGGGCCATTGGGAAGAGAAGGACAAAACCGATGAGGAAACGCTCGAATCTAGAAGGGAAGGCGCGTTTGCATAGGGACTTGGAGAGTGATCGACCTCGATGGGGCCTGGTGTCCATCGTGTTCGCAGTCTGAGAGGAAATGGGGTCATCATCGCTACTCCACGATTGAAAATCAGACGCCATCAGTTCTGTTGGCTTAGGCGACGAATTTTCAACGGGGTCTTTGTCCATGGATTCAGGTGCTTCAGTGGGAGAACCATTTAGTATTGTGGAAGGACCGGGAAGAGAGACGTCATGAGCCGAGACATTCAGAGTAGAGGGATTCCCAGGTTCTGATAGAGGTGGGAAGGCACTCTCCCTCTGTGAATTCGGAGAAGGGCCCAGGGAAGGAGGAAAAAAAGTCATTCCACGCCAAATCGACCAGGAGTGAGCTCAACCATCTCGGATTTTGACGAAAATAGGCATACACGTAGAAAAATCGATTTAAAGAAAATAATTTCAACCAATTTTTTATCCCTCCAAAAGATCTCCAGATATATGCATTTTAATGTGACCAATTTTCGCTCCCAGCGCCCATACGGACTGGAATTGTGAAACTCTTTCTGCAAATAACTTCCCCTCTAGGTAAGATATAAGCTTAATTCTGTTGTCATTTTAATTGTGGGATTGCCATCTTGAAACTAATTCCAGGCACTACTCTTCTAAGCCGAAAGAAGAAGTTTCACTTGATCAAACAGTTTGATCAAGTTCAGTGGCCAATATCGACACTTTCCGCCTCGGGAATTCGTTGTTTCAATGTCATTAAAAAGGACATAATATGCCATTTCTGATGATACAAAATGCGCGATTGGTTGACGAGATATGAATATTTATGCGCGCCAGTAGTGCCAAAATTCCACGACTCCTCCACATGAATGCGATCTTCATCAAAATCCGAGATGATCGAGCTAACTCGCTGGTCGATTTGGCGCGGAATAACCCAAAAGCAACCGGGGACACTTGCTTTTCATGTGTCCAACAGCGTGGCAGTGAAAACAGGGGATGTCACACAGGCACAAGAAAATTGTTTAGTTCTGCCCTTCGAAAGCGATAGGGACTGAGTGAAGAACGGCGTTTTCATTGTAATTTGTATGAGTACGGAGCGTCTGAAGGATTTCACTTGTTGCAAGGACGGATTTTTTAAAGAAGCACCTAAATAGGTCAAACATGATGTATTTTTCCTGTGATGCACGAGGGATTCGAAGAGGATGCTATCAGCAAGAGCCGGAGGAACATTGGAGATCACGAGCTTTATGGACTGAACATCGAGTCGACAGACCTCAACAAATTGCCCATTTACGGAGAAGCCGGATGCAAGGAAAGTGGATGCAGTGATCTCGGAATCGAAATACAAGCATATCCGACCATTAGAAATACGACAGCGTATCTCAGGCACTGAAGAGGAATATCTTGAATGATGACATCGACATGGATTTCTAAAGAGCAATTCTCCACAGCGCGAAAGACAACGGCATTCTTACGAGGAAGTTCCTCAGACAGGTAGGGGTGGAGACATACGTGGGGGGTATCTAACACCTAGAGGAGGAAAAAAAAATTCCCCTCCAGACAGCTAGTCCATACGTTCATGACGTAGAAAAGTATGTATGAAGAACAAGAAAGAAGTTAGCCTAGAATCAGAACACGGAAACAAAAATTAAATGTAATAAAAAAAACTAAAGAAAAAGAAAAGACTCACGCAGAACAAGAGCTAAAACCAAAGGAAAACCAAGAGGAAAAACCATCAGGGAGAAAACCAACACATCCAAGCGACCACCTCCAGAAAAATAAGACTTCGTGGATTCGGTAGCAAACTTAAAAATATGATAGTTGGCCCGGAATGACAATGTTTATTGCCGTCTACGAACGATTCAGTATGATCATCCAAAGAAGAACTCCTCCAGCAAATCATGGTTCGGTTGCACACCCTCATAAGAAGTCCTAATCCTCTGCCGCCTGTAGATGCCGCTTCAGAACGTGAGGTCTGTCATCTACTGCCAAGAGTAGAACCAACTCATCCACTGCCGCCTGCAGATGCCGCTTAATAACGTGAGGTCTGCTATCTACTGGCACCAGTAGAACCATCTCATCCACTGCCGCTTCAGAACGTGAAGTCTGCTATCTACTGGCACCAATAAGAACCAACTCATCCACTGCTGCCTGCAGATGCCGCTTCAGAACGTGAAGTCTGTCATCTACTGGCACCAAGAAGAACCAACTCATCCACTGCTGCCTGCAGATGCCGCTTCAGAACGTGAAGTCTGTCATCTACTGGCACCAGTAGAACCAACTCATCCACTGCCGCCTGCAGATGCCGCTTAAGAACGTGAGGTCTGTCATCTACTGGCACCAGGACGAACCATCTCATCCTCTGCCGCCTGCAGATGCCGCTTCAGAACGTGAGGTCTGTCATCTATTGGCACGAGTAGAACCATCTCATCCACTGTCGCTTCAGAACGTGAAGTCTGCTATCTACTGGCACCAAGAAGAACCAACTCATCCACTGCCGCCTGCAGATGCCGCTTAAGAACGTGAGGTCTGTCATCTACTGGCACCAGGACGAACCATCTCATCCTTTGCCGCCTGCAGATGCCGCTTCAGAACGTGAAGTCTGCTATCTACTGGCACCAAGAAGAACCAACTCATCCACTGCTGCCTGCAGATGCCGCTTCAGAACGTGAAGTCTGTCATCTACTGCCAAGAGTAGAACCAACTCATCCACTGCCGCCTGCAGATGCCGCTTAATAACGTGAGGTCTGCTATCTACTGGCACCAGGAAGAACCATCTCATCCACTGCCGCCTGCAGATGCCGCTTCAGAACGTGAAGTCTGTCATCTACTGGCACCAGTAGAACCAACTCATCCACTGCCGCCTGCAGATGCCGCTTAAGAACGTGAGGTCTGCCATCTACTGGCACCAGGACGAACCATCTCATCCTCTGCCGCCTGCAGATGCCGCTTCAGAACGTGAAGTCTGCTATCTACTGGCACCAAGAAGAACCAACTCATCCACTGCCGCCTGTAGATGCCGCTTCAGAACGTGAGGTCTACTATCTACTGGCACCAGGAAGAACCATCTCATCCTTTGCCGCCTGTAGATGCCGCTTCACAACGTCAGGTCTGCGATCTACATTCCTTATATCCGGAAAACATGTTAAATGATGGACTCAGTATCAGAAACAGTCATGCAGGATACAATATGCACACACATGGAATGTTATGACCACAGAAGCTACGATGGACCCAGGTACCTGTTTGAAAAGAAACGTGTGCCATTTACATGGTGTCCATCGACTTGCAGGCAGTAACTCATGCAAGAGACCATGTGCTCCATCGTACGGCGCCAACAGGTTGGAGTTGATAATACGGGGAGGGCAGTGATGATGGCAACTTTCCACTTTTGAGAAGTGAGAATTAAGGCCTACTCATCTCATCCATGATACTGAGCGATTTCTCTATAATAAAAGAAAGAGCTAAGTTTAACCCCAAGATGATGTGGCTTTTATGAAGTGGTATTTTGAGAAAGTGTACCTCTTAACCATTATTCTCCAATAGTTCATGGGAGCGATAGATCAAATGGAGACATCTAAGAAACCAAAGCGTTGTCCTGTAGCAGGAAATGAGCACATTTCAGAAAGGTACCTAAATATTTCGATGTTGCAAAAAGTAATGCATGATACTTGGACTCTCTCGCCCCAAGGGGATATGATTTTTCTGCAAGAAAGGGACATCCTTGGGATGTCTTGGGAAATGAGCAGACAAGGACCACAACACCCCTCTGGTTGTATAAGAAAACTGCTCCTCCTCCAAGCGAGTCAAAATCATGATGTATTATCCTTATCTCGAATTCCCTTCATCCAACAGACAGCTTTGACTAGTTTCTCTTGCACAGTAGCAACTCAGCAAACAAGGCTATTTTGAACCAACAATTCAACATTGTATTAACGTTTCAAACGTTTATTCAGTGTTCATTCAATGTTGTGTGTTTCAAATTGTTTGCTGGGAAGGAAATTAATTTGATAGGGGTCTCAACATTTCAGGCTTATTCTCCACCATGGTCTTTTGCTTCTTATTTTCTAAGAAAAAATCCAAAACACCTAACTTCTTTAAATTTCTAATTTCAAATTAGACTTTTTCTAACCATGATATTCACAACAAAAGAAACTTCAGCAAAAATATATTTCAAGGCATACAAGATGCATATAATATTCAAGGCATGGAGCATGAAGCAAGGGAAAAGAAATGGAATAACACACAGTGCATTCCAATATTTTAAAATTAAACTACAGATAGAATGAGCAGGGTGAAAAGAGGAATCACTCAACAAGGGAATCATCATGGGAAGAATCCTTGGCCCGAGATCGCCTTCGATACAGCCGCACACATCGTGGACAGCTTCCACTTTTCCCCAAGCAGGAATGATGATAACATGCATGACACTTATGGCATTGTATCACTTTCTTCAGATCGAATGGAAAGATCACCTCCTCTGATTGGCACAGCTCACACAGGAAACCCTTGGCTTGACAAAGCTTCAATCCAAAAATAAATAATTTTCCTCTACATTAAAAGCAAAATCTTGCAAGAGAAGGAAGTCTAAATGGAGGGAAACACACAGCGCAGTCATGGATGTGAGCTTGGAGTTTATCGATGACTGGTTGAAGGGTCTTGGCCAGTTCCTTTTTATGGATCTTCTTCATGTCTTCAAGGGAATACAGGCCTGGATCTTTGTAAAGGTGAGCAGGAAGGCCTTCCAAAACAAAAGGCAATGACAGACTATGGAACAAAAATGAAATAACTCCATTGAGACTCCAACACTGCATGACTTTGCTGAAAAGGACAAGATGAAAGACCCAGAAAGACCTACCTAACAGCAAAGCGACAGGTGAGAATGAAGTCTTTGAGGTGAAAGAGCTGAAGACGAAGATGAGCTACAGTCTTTAGATTCCAGTTTCTCTGGACAAGTTCTGGGTTGATATCCTCAAGGGGAAACAAAGGCTCTTCCTCAATGCTTACCAAGAAGTCCAGGGCAAAATTGGAAACAGGGTACCTGATAAATCAATGAGACTTCATATTAAGCTTCCTCAGGCACAGTTCCACATCATTTGGTACCTTGGAACTCAAGCTTATATACCGATGGAAGTCCCAGCGGTGGATGATCCTGGCAGGAATCAAAGATTTCTTATTCTCATGACAGGAGGAGCAGAAGAGTCTATGAAGATATGAGCAGAAGAGGAGCTGCTTTCCATGTGACGGATGGACCTTGAGACCACAGCCAGCACAACGCAACCTCTGCTTTGTGAGCATATCTTTCCACCTGTTTTTGAAAAACAAACTTTTTCTTCCCTGATCGAGCTGAAGGAGAAGCCAAAGGAGAAATGCAGTCAGGCCCACTTTGGTTTGGGAAGGATAGAGAGAATGATCTGCGGTCGGGGAGGAGCCCAGTCAGAAGTTCCTCGAAGAAGAGGTGGGTACTCAGTCCCATCTGGACTCACTGGGTAACTTGTTGGCAAGGGTAACAACTGCAAAAACCACAATTCTCAATCTGGCATGAGATTAGGAGTGAAAACCCTGAATCAGGATACAATTCAGCTTGTGTAATGGCAGGGGAAGCTTTCTTTTGTTCTATGGACTAACAATTAAAACCTGCAAAAATGCTCTAAGCAGCACCTCTGGTTGACCCCCTTACACCTCCTTGATCCTCAATATTCTCACACAATGATCCTGATACAAATACATTTCATTTCTCATAACTTTGCCTCATTTTGTATCAATGATGGGAAGGACAATGTTTCATCTAAGCAGGGTTCCTGCAAGCTCTAGTTCCTTTTGCTCATGTAAATACCTTTCTTTGCGTATTTTCACTACCTTGATAGTTTATTTTGAGACTGTCTGTATTACCAGGCCTATTGAAAAAGAAATGCCTTGGACACTCAAAATGATGATAGAGCAAATCTGATTGCAGACAGATCCTGTTTTCATGATGGATTGTACTGACAACAAACTACAGAAATACACAAGGAAGGGGGAAAAGCTTTGGAGATTTCTTGTCAAAATATCCTATATCAGTTGCATAATATTGATGTAGGCCTGCTTTATGTCACCTTTTTAACCCTTTCAAGGAGGCTGCAGAACTACACAAGCCTGAATAATCATTGAACCTGAGTTTGACAATGAATATGGTCTTCTGTCACATTTTCCTAATCAGAAAAATGGCAAGATATTCCATTATATTCAGTAAATCTAAAAAATTATGTAATTTTACTCATAAAAATTTATGAGACAAATTTTCCCTTAAATCTTAACTGGTCCCACATGCATTGGGTTTTCTTTCTATCTTTCATTATAGTTCTTTTTTTTAATTTGGACATCCTTTGCTCTCTTAAAAAGTGAGAAGTTTCAACCCACATACATAGTTAAAAAATAAATCCTTTTCACAGATTTTGACAAATAGAAGCCACCATTGAGAACTGCTGTACCTAATGACTTGTGAGGTGAGAATAAATTATTAAAGTATGCAAGTAGAGGTAAACTTTGGTGTTTCAAAATAATATTTAAAAAAAAGGGGGGGAGTAGGAGGGAATTCCTTCTTGATAGTACAGTCTCCACCCCAACACAGGAAAAGAAAGCAAACATATGTGATCCAAAAGGCTTTAGATTTGTAGCTTGTTAGATACAGGAGTTCAAGGATCAAGTAGGCAAAGGCAATAAAGTATAGGTGTAGCACATAAGACCACTTTCACAGGTTTAGGCAAGGCAATCCATTGAGGCAATTATGAAAAAAGGTTATGCTTGCAATTACTCCTTCTGAATTGTGTCCTTATTGAGTTTTCACACTACTGCCATGACATTTCAAAAACAGGAAAAGTCTAATGGGAGGCTCACAGCTTGAGGGGCATCCTGTTCCGAGACGAGCCACTGAATATCTTTCAAGCCAGATGGCATTGGAATATCACGGAAATTCTGCAGTAGTGCCAGTGCAACTGCCTCTGCTGATGCTGGGTTCACTTCAGTCCTTTAGCAAAATCAAATTACTTAACTTAAGATGTTTTCTTTGAAACTCATCAGAAATTATTACTAGGATCCTAAACTTTCAATTTGCTGCTCTACGGGAAGTAGCAAATATAATGATTATAAATATGCATTATACAGGGAGGCTAGAGTCTGGAGTTAGTCCAAATAACATTATTTCTCTTTTTAAGTGAATGCAGTTTAAGCCATGACAGACACCAGTCCATTGACGATTGATGAGAGGTTAATTACTGTAGTTTGAGAGCATGATCAGCATGGCCAAGTGGACCATTCCTAAGGATTGCTTGGAATGTAAAATATGCAAGCATACAGATACAGTTCGCCAGAGCATGAAAAAGGAAATGATCAAGTCTGAATGATTACCAGTACCCTTGTGAAAGGGAGTGGGAGTCACAGGGGATGACAGACTGCTGGCTTCGTGTATCTCCAGTTTGCTCATCTTCTGATGATAACAGACTGTCTGATTGCCCTTCCTCAACTTCATATGATGTCTCTTGAGGACTCACACTGACATCTGTGGCTGTTGCTATACCAATGAATAAGTATAAGATTAATTCATTGTTGATCAAAGACTATACACACATCTTTGATTTACTGTGAAAGCCATACTTGTGCTGTCAGTCCGACCATCAGAGAGAATGCCTTTTGGAGGCAGAGGTTGAGGAAGATGCCTCTCTTCAAAATCAGAACTTGCATTGCATTTCATTTGCTCTAAGGCTGCAATGAGAGCTTCTGAAATGTGGAAATGTGCATTTTCACGCTCCAGTTCAGCAGCTGTGCGATTAAAGCTTCGATCAGCACTTCCTAGGCCCAAACCCAAGGCATATGGAGGGCTTTGGTGCATTAGCAAAGTGAGGTCTTCAGAATGAGCCCTCATATGCTGGATTTTAGGTTTATGTGATTGTGCAAGCATGCCCTTAGGAGGAATGGGGAATTTGGGAGACACAATACTTGACTGGTCCACATCCTTCTCAAGATGATGTCGTTTACGCCGAGGAAGTTTCTTGGCTGTGCTAGCCACCACATCTGGAACCATCTGTTGCACACATGACATCTGGTTCATATTGCATTCCACCAAGTGTTCCACAGGAGTTGAAGTTCTCAATACACCATCAGGTGAGCATTCCACTTCTGCCAATGGCAAAGGTTCTGCCTGGAATGTCAAGCACATCCTTGGAAGTTCTGGTATCACAGATGCATCTGATTCATGGATTGATGCTGGATTCACTGAAAGAACTGCCTTTATAGGTGTATCTGCCATGATCTTTCTTACCTAAAGGAGATATATGAACAGGCCTATGCAGAATAACATCAACACATCCAAGCAAAAGAGATGGACACAGAAAGGAAGGCTCAGGCAACTGACTGCAGCTGGCAAAATGTTCAGCTTCTTGGCAAAGAGCTCATCAAGTACAGTGAGGAAGGATATTTTCAGAGCAGGTTGCGAGAGGAATGCCCATTCAAGGTATTGGGAAGACAAAACTCCCCTCTCATCTGATAACCTGATGATGGCTGTGATGTCCTTCTCCAACAGTCTGATGCGGAGATCACTCTTGGTCAGTCCCAGGCCTATGTCCACATGATTGTCAAGGCTGCCCAATCTTGGACACCCAGTCTAGGATATGAAATTTTAAAAATGTATGTAACACAATCACTATGCACTCATGTCTGAGACTAGGTAAAGCCTTTGCCAATGATTTCAAGTTAGCCTAGACCTATCATACTATTGCTAGGCTAGACCAAACTAGCCCCCATAATTTCTTGCAATGAGAGATGTCAAAGTAGGTCTTTCTTAGGACACCCTTAGCAATAATGAGAGATTATAATTCACAATTATGCCATGTAGGTTTACAAGATGCCTAACTTTAGATTACCTCTCCTGCAAAAGGAAATTTTAAAGGAAGAGTTTCTAGCATTGGCTAATTGACAAAAAGTTTGAGTTAAAAGGGAAACACTGTTCAATTCTTTCTAGACCCATGGTGTCCAATACATTCGCCAGTCACCACATGTGGCAAATCGGCCACTGACATGTGGTGAATATATGATCTCAAACCTACTTTCAAAAGATTGTGCATTCTTTTTTATTAATATTGCATACATTTGGTGATCGAATATGGTGACCCGATCGCCATGAGGTTGGCAAGCATCAAAATCCTATTGGACACCAATGCTCTAGGCATCCTTATCTACTATGACTGCTCCCTTGTTCCTCTTTTGTCTCCTCCTTATCTGATGAATGGCTTTTAGCCCAAAATCCTTAGCTTTAGTTTTAAACTTCACATCTTCCATTAATTTTTTTGTTGTCACTCCCATCCATTTTGCTCTGGATTTGTCTTCTGATTTTCTTGGAACAATGAAGTTATAAGGCATTCCCCTTTTGATGCGTTTTACCCCTCCAGTTCTGAAACTTGCATGTTTGAACTAAAATGGAGGGGAGGACTTGGAGACTAATTGTATCCTATCACATAAAACTAGCATAATATTCCATTTGTCAAGCTTTAGTTATAAGTCAATATTGGTGAGTAACAAATACTTCATGAATCAAACCTATATCTTTAGGCTCCTCAGTTGCATAAAGAAAACTTTTTTTTTCCCAACACAAGTCTTTTGTGTTGGGAAAAAAAAATAAGCAGAAATTACTTGCAATCACCTGAGGGATGCATGAAAGCTAAATGTAGGTGCATGCCTTGCAGATGGCACTCCCATCCAGGAAAGTAATAGTGATTATGGTTAAAAACATGAACAATTGTTAACTTCCATACTTCAAGTTCATATTCAGCCTTGAAAGGGCATTTTTTATAGGCAGTGTCTTTTGGTCAAGCTGGCTTGGCTCTGACTTGAGGAACAAGCTGGAAGTCACCCTATAGAAGAGAGCTCAGCCTCTAAGTTGTGGCCAAGCTGGCTTTCTGAGTGAAAAAGGACACCTAAGGTTGGGCCTAAAAATCATAAATGCTGCTGTATATTTCAGAGTGATGACTTCCATGTTACAAGTGCCATGTATATTGTCTTCAGCAATTCCAACCCAAAAGTCCCTATTAAGATGTAGGATTTCACAAAAGTCATATTGTCAGGACAGAGGGCTCACTCAAAGCCCAAGCAGTGTGCACGGAATTGAGCCCATAATGAGTGAGTTCAAAAGTTGATTTCAAAGCAGGTGTCCCCAGGCAAAGAAATAATTACCTCACTTCCCAATATGAGACAAATTAAATTAGTTGAAGTGCATGTCATCTATATCCTATCCTGACATTATGTAAGAAGTGACCATGATACCCATCAATAATTAAGAGCTGTCTAGGCTGAAAGGATGAAAAATATAGCTCAAGATCTTTCCTCAAGGCAAAGGAAGCACGTTCCTCTACCTTGAAAGATGTGCCTGTGTTCAGTGGGCTGCTGGAAACTTTATCATGTTAGGGGTGAAGTTAGAGGTCACAATACCCAGATTGGCTGATAGACACTGCCTTTTTGGCATCTTACAAGGGGGTCTGAACATATTAAGCCTACATTAGGGAATAAATGGTTATACTTTCAAAGGGCAGACTGTGGACTGATGGAGAAAAGGAGTAAAGAAAAGGGAGGGAAACACGGTGGAAATATGAATTACAAGGGATGTCCTAAGGCAGGAACAGATCCAAAGTTGTTCTTATTTAGAAAAAATGCACCACAGTTGCTTTTAGCTGGTTTTATCTGTATAGTGAGTTAGAAAGAGAGATTGTAGGCCTTTCATTTGGGTCGTTAGCATCCCGTAGCTATATTGTGGCTACTTGTGCAAGGCTTCGATTGGACTATTGGTCTAGTGGTTCTCTTGATGAGTACCCAACCTTGATGCCATGTGAGAGAACATCGCCAACAAGATGTGTGACCCGATCCAAAGCCCCGTAAAGATCCCACGGTTCCCGGTTGCCTTGCAAGAGGAGAATCTTGGTGCAGGTCGCCTGCAGACGTTGCAGCAGCTCCATTATTCTCCTCGCACATTGTTGACTCGATCTGATGCACTGGATTCACATCCTGAGTGATACATGAAACCTTAGGAAGATACCTTATACACCCCAAAACAACGGAGTCGTTGTGAGGGGGCAGCCATGTTGCGTCTCGCATGATCCCCATGCGGATACATTGTTTTCGGATTGAATTGGTACCCCCCTATTGTGGCGAACTGAGTAAACGCAAGCTTTCCAGATGATCCGCTAGATGTCAAGCTTGCTGCTCCGCACGGTTGTTGGATGGGCGGTGATAATTTGCGATTTTGGGGATTTTGGAATGGGTCACAGAGAAGGAAATAAGCTTTTATTATCTGGCAAACATAACAGGTGAAATTAATATAATAATAAATAAAAAAAAAACAGAATGAAAATATACATTTCTAAAGATGTTGGTCTTAATTCTTAAAATAGTTTTTCCTTCTGCGAGCAACACTGCGTGATTGTGAAAATCGTCTGTTCGAAAACGAAGTTTGGCAGTTCGTGGGTAGGGTGAAGCACATCATGACTTCTCGTGGAAATTATCGGGACATTTCTTATGATTTACGCCAGTTAGTCATCAAGAAACATCGGGAGGGTCAAGGATATCGAAAGATATCAAGAGATTTGGGGTTGCCAAGGACATCTGTGGCAAGGATATGCCAAACATCTGAGAAGGCTGGAGGGCGGAAGAGGAAGGGCCATCGGAATCCAAAGCTGGCTCCTTCACAGCAGCAGGAATTGGTTAAAATTGTTCAAGAGAAGAACTCCTTGACTTTGAAAGTTAGATCTGTTATTTATCTCTGTAATCCCCTCCTGCACTTAGCGTTGTAGAGCGTATTGAAGTACATGTCGGCCTCCCGCACATTGCGCAGTAGGGCGTACCCATACTTTCAGACTGCATGACAGCTCTTTGCTACTCGTGTAGTGTCGAAGGCACGAATTTCAAAAGTCGGAATTACAAAATTTAACTACTGAAATAAATGAATTAAAATGCCTAATAAGTCATTTAATTAATGCGGGAGACCTTAGAACTAATTTCACCCATTTTCTATATTGCTTTTGTACAGCAACTGCAAAGCCACATCATTCAGGACGCGACGACTTTTGGCGACGTATCCAATATTGGACTGTCGACTATTCACGATAGTTTGAGTCGCCTTCATGTCACCTGCAAAGTTCTCCATAGCATTCCTGAATTCAGGGATCGACCAGATGTCATCGAGAGGAAGTAAATAGTTAATTCTGCATAGTTTTTACTCGTTCAATTTTACCGCGAACTTTTGACATGCTTGAAATTCATTTATTCAGGTTCAACTTTGCGTTGGAATTTTCCCTCCGAAAAGACGTCGATCACGAAAAATGCATATTCCTGGATGAGAGTCCGCACAACTTCTCCATCAAGCGGCGGTTCGGAAGGAACATTAGAGGAAGGTCAGGGGTCAAAAGAATAAGTAAAAAATTGCTTTGAGGGAGAAAATTAGATCCCAGTGCAAGATCTACAAAATTATTTGATACATTTTCCGATCTTGGCGAGCAACGATAACAGGAGGTGACAAGAAGGGAAGAAATATTACTCTGCTCATGGCCATGTCCGAGGAAGGAATTCTGCATCACACAATAGAGAAAGAGTCTGTCAAGACTGGAAATTTTCTTGAGTTCTTGATAAACGTACTTCTTGTCCTGGAGCAACCCTCTGTTATTGTTATGGATAAGGTTTCTTTTCATCACGGGGATATTGTCATAAACACCATATATGAATATGGTCACGATGTGATGCATACGCCGCCGTATTCTCCCTTCCTCAATCCGATTGAGGACTTGTTCCATTTAATCAAAGGTACCTCTCACAAACGAGAATCGTACTCCTCCATGTTTTTCATATTTTTACTGTATTATATCCGAGAGAGGTATAACTTTTCTGTCCCAACAGAACACATTCGAAGGAGGCCGATTCCTCCGTCAGGTTTGAAGGACTTGTTTGCTACGATTGAGGACGGTGTCATGTCCATCACAGTCCAACATTGCAAAGCAGCAATAAGGCACGCGGAGGCCTTCTTTGACTCCTGCTTCAAGAAATTTCACATAGACAAAGACCCTGCCATCGAGACAGGGAACTGAAGCACTTCGTATAAAAAGATAAGAAGAAGAAACACAACAGGAGAATTCACTAGGCAAGTCAGTATGCAAAGTAATTTTCATTAGCATAGAATGCCTTTTTCTTTTCCTCCTTGCAGTCCTTCTCTACATAAATACAAAAACGCAGTTAAACAAGCTCGATCGCGCAGGGAAATGACACATCCGTGTGGTTTGCAGAGATTGGAGTAAAACGCATTCAACTGCGAGGATTCAACTGATCCAGCCTCTATTATACCCCTTTCTGCTTCTATCTCCTTTCCCTTCCCTTTCTTTGAGAAGCCTTAGTTTTTTCCTCTTTCTCGTTTCGCCGTCCCTCGCTCCTATACTTTGTCCTACTTTCTCTGTTGGTTGGCGAGCGACCTCCATCTTACAGATAAAAGCTCAGATGTTCTTGATAAAAATTACAGTTGGAAAGGACTGGCGATCTGCATGCGAAATTTCTATTGCGGCACCTAATAAGATAGGCAATAGACCAGATCTGAATCTGCCTTGAGCATAAGTTCAATCTGAGACTCCATGCAGGGCTCCACATAGTGAGAATCGCAGTTCCGCAAAGGATTCTATTAATACTTCATCTTCCATCCGCAAGGTGTCCTGCCTGTACTTGATGGAAGCGCTCCGAGGGGGGGGGGGGTACCAATTCTATCCGAAAACAGTGTATCTGCACTAAAGATGTTCCGAGAGCAAAAGTGTCTGAGTCAGGTGAAAACACTGTAGTAGCACATTGCTGACTGCCGAGATTGGAGATATGCATTGAAACCATCCGTTGAAGATGCAGCATGTAACTTCGTGACTAATGCTGTAAGTGCGTGGTTGAAGAGGCTGGACATGCAGCGAATCCACAGTATTCATTGTAGTGCAAAGGGAAGTTTCTTGAAATTGTGTTTTCACAAGCACCGCGTGAAGGACGGTACATGTATTACTCATGGAAGCGTTTTATTGGAAGGATGGTTCTGATGTATGCACATTATCACCATATCCGCAGAGATATGCATAGATCATAATTTACTAGAGATCATAATTTACTGGCGCTAGAGTACACACATCACTGCCATCTCCCCATAGTCTTTTGGAAGAAGAAAAAAATAGGACTCGCATAAGTCGTGGACTTGGCTGTAATTTTTCACTTTTTTATTTATTCCAATGGAACATCCTCATCTGTGCATACAAAACACCATAAGATAAATTAATGTTTTTGCTTGCAACCAATACTTATATATTCACCTGAGGGGTCCGCATTGTTCAATAACCGAGGTATAAAAATTGTGCTTAAGTCAGGGAAAATAGACTTCAAGGTGCTTCAGGTTCTACGGGTTCTGCGGGTTCCGCGGGTTCTGCTGGTTCCGCTCCTTTCCCACCTGACTTTCCACGACCGAAGGATTTGACTTCTCCTACGTAGCCGGAGTCATAACCGTTACCGTAAATGGGAGTACCGCCATATCCTTGACCGTGAGAAGAGCCATAGGAGGAAGAATGTTCGTAAGATCCATATCCAGGAGAGGCATGTCCGCCCTCTCCGCCTTCTCCACCCTTTCCGCCGTCTCCTCCCTCC